CCGAACGGCGAGTCGGAGATTGATAGATACCAACCCTTGAGTCGATTGTAACTCAAAAACGCATAACCCTCTATGTGTTATGTCCACCCGGTGTTAGTAGCACGATAAAATGATGACTTGACCTTCTTTAATGCCTTACGCTTAACACGATGTGAAACACATCATTGTTTCAAATGAAAAAGTGGTAGGGGCTAATTTTCATTGTATACTACGACTAGTGGGCTTTTCCGGTCCAACCCGGGACATTTTCACCTGCACTGCGAGCCCCCGCCCCCTCTTATGTGCTATAAATGACTTACCCTGAGACATCCGCTTCGATACCGCATCCTCGTGATACCGAGGTGAAAATGAGCTTCACCGCCCTTCTTTACATGACTATGGGAAAATGCTTGAGTAAACATGATAAACCTTCAACCCCTTAGAAAAACGTAAACCGATCAGTAAATCGATAGAAGGACCCCTGAATCGCCACGAAAAGTAGCCTATCATCTGCGCAGGGGTCGAAAACATAAGTGTGCAAAGTTTCAGATGAATCGGTTGAGCGGCGCGCGTTTCTATAGTGTGGACCCCGGCCAGCTTCCCATAGGTACCTGCGCGACGCACCCGCAATGCACGCCTTCAGTGCGTCTCCTGCCCTAGCTCCTAATGGAAATCCTCTTTTCTCTCCTTTTTGTTTTGTTTTTGGTGTACTATATTCTTTCTATTTCAGATATAAACATTCGCGATGGCGGTGACAAGATTTCACGTGCTCTAATAGTTCTAAAAATTTCAGTCTTGTGTATTAGTCTTGTGTTTTCCCTTTTTTCTCTGAAAAATTGAGATTTGATTGGATATTAAGATGATATTCCTTCAAAAGCTTCTTGAATGATATAAGAGTCCCTTTCGGTTTGATGTTTAGGGTGTAGACAGGGTCTCAAGTCAAAATTGAGCCTTCTAAAAAGCCAACAGGTATTTGTTTACGGAAATGTCCACTTTTTTGAAATTTGGACTACTCTAGTTTCTAAGTCTACGAAGAGAAATGTTTTAAGAATGCTGCTGTTCTTTAATTTCTCTACGTATACTTATTACAACCTATCCCTCAGTGCAAGTTCGATATATGCATCCATTGATTAAATTTGAGGTACTCATGAAGTCTGCTTCGTTTCGTTCTTGCATACGTCTCTTTCGAAGTGAACCTAGAGGTTTCCACTTTACATTTTCTTCTTTGTGAGCATAAATGTGCTCTACTGCTCATGAGTGAGGCGAAAACATCAAGAAGGGTGCGCGCTGCGTGCGCGCCGCGGAAGTACCTATGGGAACCTGGCCGGGGTCCACACTATATAACCAGGGTCAAGCAAGAGGTGTGGCACACGATCGCTGGTTACGACCCCCCCCCCCTCTTATTGCTGTCTCAATAAGACCCCCTGAACTATATATCTAAGATAGCATTACTTGAAGGCCCTGTCAAACATAACGGGCAACATATCCATAATTAGCATGCCAATTGACCTCTGTAGACAAGCTTTGAGCGAATTCTGAAGTTTCAAGATACTGGGTCACTTAAGTGAAATCACCATTTTCCAGCATGATTAACTTTGTTTCAAAAGTGAAGTAGCTAGCTGTCTTTGCACTCAGGACAAAGCACTACTCCTTCTTTGGCCGATTCAGAAATCTCGCTCCCAAAGACCTCCTAACTTTGGAATTAGAAGCCAAACAAAATCTTGTTTTTCCTATTTTTCGCTTTTAATGGCTGTGCTTTCACCAAATATTACTCAGAGCTAAGAAGACGAATCAAGTTCAAATTACTCCTATGAAATCTACGAAGTCTAGGCTATCGATTCATATAAATAACGTTCGCTAAGAATGTTTTTTTGATATAGTTAATGGGGTGTGGCACCACCCCTAACAAGCTATCGCTGCCACAGCTTTTTAAGGGTGGTGCCATACCCCCTTAACTTACCTTCAAACGATCAAATAGATGAGTTTTTTATATCGTTATTACTGCTTAGCTCTTTCTTCTTTACATAGCAGAAATTTTATATGAGAACGTTTCTTCAAGAACAAGATATGATCGTTTTTCCTTACCTATGCAAATGTAAAATACTGGTACTGCGAAATATTGGGATACGGTAACATGCTAAGTCTGCGCTACTACGTGAATCGCAAGGGAAGGCGACAAGAATGTATATATTCGATAGCCTAAGCCTCGTAATTTACATTAAAGTGATTTGAGCCTGATTGGTCTTCTCTAGCCTGACATAAAAACGAAAAATGGGACAAATGAGATTTTGGCTTGCTCTTAATTCCTTAATTTGGAGCTCATTTGAAGTAGGATTGCTAATCTGAGCAAAGAAGTAGTAGTTCTTTGTATAAGCGCAAAAGGAAGTAGTAAAATTACTTTTGAAAAGTAACATGTTTGAGAACGAGCATCTCACTTAAATGGTCCTGTATTTGGAAACCTCAGAATTCGCTGAAAACTGGACCACAGGATTTATTTCACTAATTCAAGACGATGCTATTATGCTCTATAGAACTCAATTATGAATATTGCACGTATACGATAATGGGTCGAACATCAATGTGCTAGTATTTTGCATGACGGGCCTATTTGACATTGTTAACGAATATCATGTTATGCGAACAGCGGACGCCTTGATAACCCCCCCCCCTCCCCGATTCCTCAATACGACCCCCCAGCTGTGGCATGCCACATCCTACGCTTAACCCTGTCTATAACGCACCCCTCCATACTGACAGCTTTTGAGTTATATATATAAACTAAAGTCATTTGAAACTCAATATGTGAAACTGCACGCTAAGCCCTGTAAGCGACGACACCCTTACCAGTAACCTTTTGATGTTCTGTTGACTAACATACAACCAACAAAAACAAAATAGACAAGGAAGCAAGGAGAAATCACTGGAAATGAATAGGTTCTACTTTTGCAGTTCGTCAGTTAGTGTGTATAGTGTGCACTATGCATATGTGCTATTTTCACATTACCTGATAAAGGAACTATGGTGTTAACCTGCTGATTAATTCGTAGTTTGTTTTAAAATGCAACAAGCATGAAACGAATATGGTCTTCCGATAATTACTTGCTTTCATGATTTTGTATGATCGATTAAACTGAATGGCCGTAAGAAGATGATCATGCTTACCACGATGTCATGATTGACAACACATCGGCTTTGACCAAATTACTACCACTCCAGGAGTGGTAGAAATTTGTTGGAAACTATCAAATAATGTGATGGTTCAATCATGGTTACATACTGGTATAACATAAGCGTGACCATCTTCTGACGACCTCTCAGTCCTATGAGTCTTACAAAATCATGAAACAAGCAAGTAAGCAACATCAACAATCATGAACGTTTCAAGATTGTTACATAATGAACCAACCTAAGTATCCAGTGTGTTAACTTCATTGTTTGTATCAGATAGAGTAATGTTCTTTTCATGAGACCAAAAGTGAAAGCATCATTATTTGCATTGAGAAAAGTACCCTTGACAACTTCTTCATTTGAAACAAAGATGTAATGGTATCAAAAGTTGAGAGTAGTAAGGAATACCACTCTGAAACTTACTAGAAGAAAGCTTACCTTTCTACTGCTCAAATAAAATTGTGGGAAGTTGCAAGAGCCTGGGAGGCAAACAGCAAATTTGGTGAAGTGCAGTGAGGGTGGTTAAGCACATGAGAATCGTTGGTGGTTCAATCCGCTTGTTTGACACTGCCTAGACTTAAATTCAAGTGGAAATTCACCCATTTCCTGTTTCTAATTGGTTACCTCGTGGTTTTTTTTGGAAAAGGTGATGTAATGCTGCTGAATACCTCTAAGGACTTGGGCAGAGTTCACGCGATTTTATCGTCGATTTGATTGCGACAAGACAACTGTAACAATATCATTGCATGCTATCTTCTTGCATTTCGGTTGTAATAGTTTTCCAACACGAATAACCGGGACTAACTATCCATCCGAAATACAAGAAGATCAGCATGCAATGAACCCGTAACACTTGTCTTGTCGCGATAAATCGCTACGATGAAATCGCGTAAACTCTGCCCGAGGCCTAATAATGAAAACTTATCGTTAGTTAAGATGGTGGTCTCAACCAAATTACTACCACTTCAGAATCTCTGCTGCTTACTTTGATGCGTAGCTGAGGACAGTGAGTGATCAGCTACTGATATTCTACAACAGCTCAATGTTCTCAGTGAGAGGAGGCTTTGCGCTACCACAACGTAGTAGTAGCAGGCAGAAGCTGTGAAACGGCAAATGCAATTGCGAATGTTAAATGCCGCCAGCGGCCATCTGAATAAGAGCATTAGCAGTTACTGAGACTAGATTTATTTACTTTGCATATTCTTCTATACAAGCATACATTCAACTTGATGGAGCATTTCAGTAATTTTTAAATTTCGGTCATGTGCACATCGATCCATTGATTAAATGTTGATCCAAAATTGCCTGAAGCAAACGTGCATAAAAACTTTGCATAAAAATTGAACTGCGTCAATGGCCACATACGGGGTTTATCAAACGCAGTGTCACTTGCAACACAACATCTCACTCTCGCGCTGGACTCTGCACCTCCTTCGCGAACATGCCCTTTGAGTACTTTCCCAGGGCGAGCGTGGGAAAGGCGGAGCCTCAATTGATTGGAAGTGATCAAAGAGCATGTTCGCGGAAGAGACGTAGAGTCCAGCGCGGGAGTGGAGATGCTGATGCAAGCGACACTGCGTTTGATAAGCCCTGTACGAATAGTCAATGGCCATATACGAATAATGGCGAAGGTTGAGATGTACTAGGACAGCCATGTTCGGCATGCAATCAATTGTTTTGTCTAGTCAACCTGTGTTCAATTTCTACTGTCCCAATAATTCTGTATTACCACATGCTTCAGCTTCTAGTTAACTTGTAAATCATTCCATGTTGGGTTATTATCACCCACTGATCTGGCTTTCCATGTGTTGATAGCATTTTCAACACAGTATCTACATTTCTTTCCAGGCTGGATGGTGCCGGCAGTCTGGCCACTGCTGCTTGTCATCGCAACAGCCTCATCCACATGGCTTAAACCAAATTATCTCACCGAGCTTGATTTTCTCAACGCTGCAGAACTGCCTCCACCGACTCGAAGAGCTCGACATCTTTATCACGACATTCGCTTCTCCAAAAGGGTTGGTGTATGATGGATTTGACGCTCGAGTGGATGGGTCGCAAATCTCGAAAACGTTTAGACGAATTAGATCAATTTTCATTCAAATTTATGTACTGTACCTTTTTACTTTGTATGAGCCAGAACAGCCTTGCAAAAAAGGTTAGAGATTATAGGCTTGCAAAAGACGAAGTTTTGCGATACACTGTTTATTTGCTTGGTGGATGAGTCACTCCTTGGATCACTCTTCCTACAGCCTCTAAGACGCGGGCCGCAGACTCATCCTGCTTTCTCACAAAGTACTTCTTTTTTATTTTCGATGGTATTTTGTCATGCAGGACCGGCTATGGAAAGAAGGGGGACGGAAAAGGGGAGGGCCTGTTTGATGATTAGGTCATTTTTTCAGGGCTTGTAGTTACTCAGCATGATGGCACCCTCCAGCAAAGTTACCGAAACGGAGTGAGATCGAAAGCTCAGCACAGCCAGATCGCCGCAAAAGATCCCCATGCGCGAGCTTGAAGGTGCATGCATCGACCTCGAGCGAGTATGCGATAACAAATTGACAAAGGTGCATGCAACACATATTGCGAACAATCATAGGGTGATGCGCAAGAAGATAGTGTCTGTGACAAGTACAATCAATGCTTAGTTGAAGTAAACTTAGACTTTGAAACTGCAAAGAAATGGTCACAAATCGAGGAATCCAAACAAGCTGTATACTATTAGATGCAGCATAAATCGCTGACTTCGAATCTATATGCCTCTGCTTAACGCCTTCGTGGACGAAGTTATGAGCAGTTTTATTGCAAAAAACTTTAGAAAGAATTGCTTCACATTGATAATTTCCATGTTCCGTAGTCATTAAACCTGGGCATGTTCGTAAGTGTCGAATATTGTTGTGCCGAACAGGTTGTTAGGTGGTCATTTTATTATTAGTACTCTTCGACCTTACGTTTCTACGCTTTCGTCTCATCAGAGGCCTGGAATGGTTCAAAGCTTCATCCGTAACTCCAGCCCATCAAAGATCTCCACCAGCCTTGCCAGTTCTTGGCTCTTCCCTCAATCTAGTGCTACAAGAATTGGGATGGCAAAAGACATACCAGGGAACCACCGCTTCGTTAGATGTCCGTACCGGATGAGATGTTCGCGACGGACGACTGAGCTATACTGAGGGTTGTCACATAAACAGTTATAGCTCACATAATGATAAAAACGGAAGAAAATCAGCGGTTATGGATAAACACTCGTTTTTGCTGTTCATTTCTGCAAAGATTCCAGAAATGAACAGCAAAAACGAGTGTTTATCCATAACCGCTGATTTTCTTCCGTTTTTATCATTATGTGAGCTATAACTGTTTATGTGACAACCCTCAGTATAGCTCAGTCGTCCGTCGCGAACATCTCATCCGGTACGGACATCTAACGAAGCGGTGGTTCCCTGGTATGTCTTTTGCCATCCCAATTCTTGTAGCACTAGATTGAGGGAAGAGCCAAGAACTGGCAAGGCTGGTGGAGATCTTTGATGGGCTGGAGTTACGGATGAAGCTTTGAACCATTCCAGGCCTCTGATGAAGACGAAAGCGTAGAAACGTAAGGTCGAAGAGTACTAATAATAAAATGACCACCTAACAACCTGTTCGGCACAACAATATTCGACACTTGCTTCACATTGTTTTATCGACATGAGAAAAACCAGATCTTGTAAGAAAATTTGAACTTGAGTCACACGATGACAGAAGGATGAGGAGATCTGAACAAAGTAGATGTAGACGATATTCTCCTTTGACATCCCGTTTAGAGTCTTGGGTAACAAATCGATCTGTCTGTCGAGCTATCTTGGTAAAAGCTTGACAAATCTTCTAAGGTGTTTTCAACTTTAAATCCGGCAATCCGGCCACTTTTGTTGCACGCTTTCCTTGAAACAAATCAAATTAACTGATGGTTGCGGACAAGGAACTATAGACGTTGTTATTGAAAAATTAAATTCAAAATTTCGTTTCATTATTACCCTTGGACGGAGATGAAGAATGTTTAGTAGCCCTCCCCGAAACTCCTCAGTAAGGAAGGGGGCTGATTGGAGAAAGTTAAAATACACTTGTATGGAGTCTTTGCTTCCTTGTCCTTGGGCGTAACGGACCTTTCCTGTGCGGGAAAGATTGCAAATTGCTTCCCTATTTTGCCAACGTAGAATTTCATCACGATTGCCTGCGGTTTTTTGCTTGCCTATTTGGTGTTCAATTTCTAAATTTTGAAACCGATCACATTTCTGGTCGATCTTATTGAGGTGCATCACTAGGCGCCAAATTTTGTAGGATTTTCTAAGCACGGACGTACCTCTCGATGCCTTGTAGAAATAAAGGGTTGATTTGAAGGTTTGGGCAGATTGTGAGTCATAACTTCTTCTCACCTCGATCTACTCGTTTAGCGCTGATTGGTAATGAAAGGAAATCATATACTTTGAAACAAGATTTAGCTCCTCCTTATTATGCACGGTTGCAGAGCTAGAAGTGGAAGAAGGTTACTTGAGGTTTTGTGATTTGAATCAAGCTCACCAAAAATCTGAAAACGTTGCGTAAAATTAGTAAAAGAGATCTAGAGATCTACACTACATCTACAGTAGGTCTTTACTTCTTATTGCATAAGTACCTCTCAGCCGACATGTAAGGGGTAGAGGAACGAACACCTCAAAGGTATCCTCCGCGGGTTGCTGATCCTTTCGTCCTACTGTTGTGCATCGTGCTGGGACCAGTAGCCCGCGAAGGCGGTGCCTTATTGAGGTGCTCGTTCCTCCACCCCATGTAAGTCTCAAATGCAAAGCTGCGTCTGACCGTTCACAACCAAGACTACTTGGAAAACCCTTAATTCGAGGTCTTCCTGAACAAATATGCTTTTATAAGTAGTAAGAGTCTTCGTTTGTAGCAGAGAGAGAATACGCAGCATGTAAGGGATATGCTCTACTGCTTGCTTCAGAGAAAAAATTTGTAAAGCTGAAGGCACTTCAGCTGTTTTTGCAGAGAGCGAAACGTAGTGGTGGAGTAGCTGTGTCATCGCAAGCGGACAAGTGGCCAAATGGACGAGTTCCTTACGTGCTTTCAGCAGCTTACAGCGAGTTTTCCTCTTTAGAGCAGCTGCTTCATGCATTGCTACAACGTCAGTTTTAGGCGAGAGCCAAAGAGCAGTCATTGCGCAAGCCATTGCTGGATACCAAGCTCGAACGTGTATACGATTCGTGCCCAAGGCACAAACTGACCGTGATTATATTGTGATCTCCAAACTTGATGGGTGTGGATTTTCAGGTTATGGCTTTTCATTCGCAAATAACATATTTCAGATGTTACGCGGATTTTGCTCGTGTCGGTGGCAGGCAACAAGTATCTTTAGCGGATGAATGTATGGATTACGCTACGATTATACATGAACTCATGCACGTCGTAGGTCGGTTGTTCATTCAGTTTAGAGTTTCATTCATAGTCAAAATTCTGCAAGCGTAAGGTCTGAAAAGTCTTCGTTCTTGTAATAAGGTAACAAACTTAGGCGTATAATCAATGAAACCCAGAGAAGAACATTTTCACATTGTTGGTGAACGTTTCAATCCCAGCAAACTGATATCATCACGCAGCTTCAAGTCGTGGTGCATAACTAGGCTCTGGTGCCGCAGGCGGAAAAGTGAGACCTGGATTAGAAGTTGGTGGCTCATTTGTGATGTGCAGAACAAGTAAGCTATGATGCTTCATTAAATAGACGACCTACGCTCATTCGAATAATAGAATGATTGCCCGCGTTCTTTTCCCAGCCGACTTAAGAAGGTGTGATAATATTAAGGCGTAATGGCGGCCTTCCAAAATGATTGTAGGTAGACCCACGAAACTCATAATACAACAAAATTATAATTAGGTTTTATCGAGAACTCAACCTGCGCTTGATGGTGCAGTGGTCAATATGTCGGACTAGGGGGCGTGTTCAGCCCCGAAGTATCGGAAGAGTGCTACAAATGCAGGAAATGACTATGACTCACGATACTCAAGTAACAAACATATCGACTAAAGCAGTAAACAACGCGTGAGGTCAAATAATCATGAGTAAATATTGGGAAATTGGGGTAGCGCCAGATTGGCACAAAGTAAAGGCCAGCATAGATTGCACATTGGCTGAGTTCAAAGACTCATCCCGGAGCGTCAAATATTTTTTCTTACCTAGACTTGCATTTCCCGCTGATGTCGGAATCACAGCTCGGACAGCGCCAAAATGTGAAGACGGTTTTTTTTTTCTCAAAGCCTTTGTTTTGAATTTGAAGATATGCATGCGGAGCCAGCCAAAGGTGAGACACGGAGTTGCTATGGCGGTCTTTGGTAATAAGAGAGCAATATGCGCGCTCTAGCACAACACCCTGAAGTCGGTGAATCCGCGGATTTCGCCAGCTTTCGACTGAGCGGTGTCGGAGCTTTTGTAGCCAATTTTTTAGACATGCCGTAAATCACAGGGTAAAAGCAGAATCAAAATCATATAAGCATGTTTGCAAATGTATATGTCCCCAGGTCATCTTTAGTAGTTCCAAATAAGAAGCCGAGCCACCACCCACGTGCTTCAACACGTTCTCGCACAATGGAACTTCAAAATGCTCCTCGAACAAACAAATTGCTTGTTCATGCAAACAGCTGATGAGACCACAGAAAGTTGATGTGTACACGCGTGAAATAATGTAATACATGAAAGATCATGAAAGAATCGGAATCGCTAAGCTTCTCTAAAGTTCGCTAAAACGATGTTTAGGTGTTAACTGGGCTGCCAACCCATCTATCACAAAATTGGGATTTTGGATTTGCGGTTCGCTACCGAAACCCTTGATGCCTACTGTGTGGCCCTGGTTTATACGCAATCTTGTAGGAAGTTTGAATTTAGTTGCCATATAACACCTTTTTTATGAACTGTGGAGAGTAGGGGAGGGGTGAATAGTATACTTGGGTCCGAATCGAATAGAAATTCGATCATTCGAATAAAACATTCGAATACGTTCGTATTCGAAATTCGATATTCGGAGTTCTTCCATTTTCGAATAATATTCGAAACTCGAATAATTGAGAAAACGGGGTTTCGAATAAAATTCGAATCTCGAATAATCAAAAAACAGGGTTTCGAGTAAAATTCGAAAACTCGAATAATCAAAAAACGAGGTTTCGAATAGATTTTATTCGAATGTTTATTCGAATTCGTATTCGAATAAACAGTATTCAGGTTATTCGGCTTTGTTGCAGAGCCAACTGCTGAGTATCAAGCTCACTTCGTCCGCGTTTTTTTTTTCGCAAAACTCGGTAATGCATCTTTTGCAACCGGTATACCTTTGAACTGTATGGAGAGTCGCATTCTTCCGACTGCTTGCGACAGTAAAAAAAATCATAAGTGAATTTTAGTTGATGTTTTTTCGATCAATGAGATTGTTCGCACTGCAATTGGCACCAAATCAGCAAAGAAGCTGTCGAATTCAAGCTCATGTTCTGAGTTCATACTGATTACAAATGGCTGTTCTTCTTTCTTTGTATTGCTCATGCTTGCGGTACGCAAAGCTCACACTAGTGAGCACTCTTGCTCGCATAAATTATTGCAAAACTGCCTATTCGTTACCTTGGAGTTTTTTGCGAATTGGTGTATATTGAGTAAAGGACATCGCAGTTGTAGTGCTGCATTAGACGGTTTAGATCGCCGTACGCGATTTGCCAGTAACGAGATGTCTTCAGATGTAATGGCAGCTTACCACAAATGTTGAATCTTTTGGGCACAGCATAAAAATTTATATCGACTGCTTTTCGATCGTCCAATAAAATATGACTTTTTGCTGATGTATAGACTAGTTGCCGACCGACTTTATCGATTTTTGGAAAATCTTGAGCTGCGGGGCTGGGAGTTGGTACAAGGGGGTAAGTGAGGATGCTGATTATGAAGACAATTTACTTTTTCGATTTTATCGATTTTTGGAAAATCTTGAGCTACGAGGTTGGGAGTTGGTACAAAGGGGTAAGTGAGGATGCTGATTATGAATACAAATTTACTTTTTCGATTTTATCGATTTTTGGAAAATCTTGAGCTACGAGGTTGGGAGTTGGTACAAAGGGGTAAGTGAGGGTGCTGATTAAAACCCAAATCTATTCTATTGATTTCAGCAATTTTTGGATTGGAAAATTTTGAGCTAGGAGTTGGTATAGGGGATACTAGGGGGCTGATTATGATTGGATCGGCTTTAGCCAGATATGTCGGCAAGTTTGAAATGTGATTGCTTTAGTTATTCGATAAATCATTCGAATATTTATTCGAAATTCGACTTCCAATGTTCGAATATATTCGATATTCATTCATTCGATATTTTTGATTTTCCGAATTTATTCGAAATTCATTCATTCGATATTTTTGATTTTTCGAATTTATTCGGAATTCATTCATTCGATATTTTTGATTTTCCGAATTTATTCGATATTCGTTTATTCGAGATTTTTTATTTTCGAATTTATTCGATATTCGTTTATTCGAAATTTTTCCTTTTCCAATTTATTCGATATTCATTCATTCGATGAAAAATTATCGAATTACCCAAGTATAGTGAATAGCGGTAATGCTTATGGGAAAAACATTGATGACGTCGCAGAAAAACTAGTGATTCTCAATTCTTACCTCAATAGACTGAATACTATACTTGGGTAATTCGATAATTTTTCATCGAATGAATGAATATCGAATAAATTCGAAAAGGAAAAATTTCGAATAAACGAATATCGAATAAATTCGAAAATAAAAAATCTCGAATAAACGAATATCGAATAAATTCGAAAATAAAAAATCTCGAATAAACGAATATCGAATAAATTCGGAAAATCAAAAATATCGAATGAATGAATTTCGAATAAATTCGGAAAATCAAAAATATCGAATGAATAAATTTCGAATAAATTCAGAAAATCAAAAATATCGAATGAATGAATTTCGAATAAATTCGGAAAATCAAAAATATCGAATGAATGAATATCGAATATATTCGAACATTGGAAGTCGAACTTCGAATAAATATTCGAATGATTTATCGAATAACTAAAGCAATCACATCTCAAACTTGCCGACATATCTGGCTAAAGCCGATCCAATCATAATCAGCCCCCTAGTATCCCCTATACCAACTCCTAGCTCAAGATTTTCCGAAAATTGCTGAAATCAATAAAATAGATTTCGGTTCTAATCAGCACCCTCACTTACCCCTTTGTACCAACTCCCAACCTCGTAGCTCAATATTTTCCAAAAATCGATAAAATCGATAAAGTAAATTTTTATCCATAATCAGCCCCCTCACTTACCCCCTTGTGCCAATTCCCAATTTCCACTAGATTTCAAAGACGTTTAGCAGAGTAAATAAAATTGGCTGAGCTAAAATCCAAAAATCCAAAAACATTGCAACTTGGTGTAAGGTGTAAGCACCTAACGAGCTGTTCGGATTCATAGCGCTAGGTGTGCGATCTTTTGAAGCAATAAGGTGGCCACATATATATTAAATTCCACAAATGCTACGATACATTGCCTGTTCATCGGAGACTTTCGTCTTGTGTGGTATAAGCTAGTCGTGGACGAAGGCATGTGGTTTCCTCCGCGAAGCGAGCACGAATGCCCCTATAACCCCGGGCATACTGCAGGCATTTCAGTGGCGACGTGGTATCGTAATACTCAAATTGTCCAAAACCTAATCTGAAAGTACAGAAGGCAGGGCATTTATCTTTTTAGTATGTTGTACACGCTAAACATTTGTGGTAAGCTGCCATTACATCTGAAGGCATGTCGTAACTGGCAAATCGCGTACGGCGATCTAAACCGTCTAATCCTGCACTACAACTGCGATGTCCTTTACTCAATATACACCAATTCGCAAAATCCAGGGTAACGAATAGGCAGTTTTGCAATAAATTTTTGCGAGCAAGAGTGCTCACTAGTGTGGGCTTTGCGTACCGCAAGCATGAGCAATGCAAAGAAAGAAGAACAGCCATTTCAATTCAGTAGAACTCAGAACATGAGCTTGAATTTGATATCTTCTTTGCTGATTTGGTGCTAAGAGCAGTGCGAACAATCTCATTGATTGAAAAAACATCAATTAAATGATTTTTTTACTGTCGCAAGCAGTCGGAAGAATGGACTCTCCATACCGTTCAAGGTATACCGGTTGCAAAAGATGCATTACCGAGTTTTGCGAAAAAAAAACGCGGACGAAGTGAGCTTGATAGTCAGCAGTTGGCTCTGCAACAAAGTCGAATAATTTTAATACGGAGTATACTTGGGTAATTCGAAAATTCTTCATCGAATGAATGAATATCGAATAAATTCGAGGTTCAAAAATTCTCGAATGAATGAATTCCGAATAAATTCGGAAAATCAAAAATATTGAATGAATGAATATCGAATATATTCGAACACTAAAAGTCGGATTTCGAATAGATATTCGAATGATTTATCGAATAATTAGAGCAACCATATCTCAAATTTGCCGACATATCTGGCTAAAGCCGATCCATTCATAATCAGCACCCTCGTATCCCCTATACTGACTAACTCAAAATTTTCAAAAATAGCTGAAATCGATAAAATAGATTTCGGTTTCAATCATTTACGCCCCCCCCCCCCACCCTGTACCAACTCCCGACCTCGTAGCTCAAGATTTTCCAAAAATCCAAAATCGATAAAGTAAATTTTTATCCATAATCAGCACCCTCACTTGCCCCCTTGTACCAACTCCTAGTCCCGCAGCTAAATCTTCTCCAAAAATCGATAAAATAGATGAAGTAAACTTTATCCATAAACTTATTCTAAAGTACAGAATGCAGGACATTTATCTTTTTAGTAAGTTGTACACGCTAAACATTTGTGGTAAGCTGGCGTTACATTTGAAGACATCTCGTAACGCAAATCGCGTACGGCGATCTGAACCGTCTAATCCTCCACTACAACTGCGATGTCCTTTACTCAAAATAAACCAATTTGCAAAAAAATCTCTAAAGTAGCGAAGCGAATAGAGGCAGTTGAATATAACTAATGCGAGCAAGAGTGCTCACTAGTGTGGACCTTTGCGTACCACAAGCATGAGCAATGCAAAAATAGAAATACAGGCATTTCAAAACACTTTCAGTATGTGAACTCGGAACATGAGCTTGAATTTGATAGCTTCTTTGATGATTTGGTGCCAACAGCAGAGCGAACAATCTCATTAATCAAAAATCAACAATTATAATCCACATATTGTTTTTTACTGTCAAGCAGTCGGAATAATGAGACCCTCCATACAGTTCAAAGGTTATAACGGTTGCAAAAATGCTTTACCGAGATTTGCGATAAGAAAACGAAGTGAGCTTGATTTCAGCAGTTGGCTCTGCAACAAAGTCGAATAATCTGAATACGGAGTTCATTCGAATACGAATTCGAATAAACATTCGAATAAAACATTCGAATAAAATCTATTCGAAACCCCGTTTTTTTGATCATTCGAGTTTTCGAATAATATTCGAATCCTCGTTTTTTAATTATTCGAGTTTTTGAATTTTATTGGAAACCCTGTTTTTTAATTATTCGAGTTTCGAATATTATCGAAAATGGAAGAACTCCGAATATCGAATCTCGAATACGAATATATTCGAATGTTTTATTCGAAAGATCGAATTTCTATTCGATTCGGACCCAAGTATAATACGGAGTACATTCGAATACGAATTCGAATAAACATTCGAATAAAACATTCGAATAAAATTTATTCGAAACCCCGTTTTTTGATTATTCGAGTTTTCGAATTTTATTCGAAACCCTGTTTTTTGATTATTCGAGTTTCGAATTTTATTCGAAACCCCGTTTTCTCAATTATTCGAGTTTCGAATATTATTCGAAAATGGAAGAGCTCCGAATATCGAATTTCGAATACGAATATATTCGAATATTTTATTCGAATAATCGAATTTCTATTCGATTCGGACCCAAGTATACTGAATACTCTTGGATATGTTGAACTTGATAATGTGTGGCCTTGCTTGCCTGTGAATCTTGCAAAGAATGTTGAGTCCTCCTTTATTGATAATCTACAGCGCCACAATGTAGGAATTACGGCAGTGAACTGAGGCTACCTTTGACTGTTTGAGTGCCAAAGATGTTTGTGATTCCAGGCTTTATTCATGAACATCAAAGAGCGGATCGAGACAATTATGTGGACATCCTTTATCAGAACATCATCCTAGGTCCTTCTTTGAGATCTATATTTTCAGTGACAAGAATGCCACTTTTTATCTCATTTTAGGCGCCAACTCCGACTTTGATAAATTGACACAGTTGGATCTTTCATATTATGGAGAAGGCTATGACTATCTATCTATAATGCACTACGAAAGCGATGAAGGTAGTAAGAACGGTAGAAATACGATAGAAGCGAAGGTAAGCAAGACAATAAGTACATGTAGTTGGTATAGAATTGCACAGCCACACTAAGCTAACTGGTTACAACAATGAAAAACTTGTGTTTCATCCTAAAAAATGATATAATATTAAGGACCCTCGATATACACCACTCATGGGCAAGGGCATCGATTTTTCTCCATCGGATTTGAGACGATTAAATCGAGCTTATACTTGCTATGGCTACTACTTGTAACGTTCTAAATTACAACTCGCTTGCTTCTAGTAAAGAGAAGAAATGTAAATACACTGCCCACAGCATGAGATCTGCGCTGATTGTATAGCCTGCAATTTAGCTGTTCACGACACAGGTAGACGTTCACTTGTCTGTAATTATCTGATGAAAACTGCATCGATGTGATTACATCAATAAATGATGAATAATTGGTTTCAGTCAAGCACACATACACAATCACACCACTACAAATAGATCTACTTACTAGCATTGACAATCGCAATACGACAAAGTGCTTTACACTTTCTGCACGCGGAATTATATACTATTAGGTCATTCCGAAAGTAATTTCGCTTTTTTCAAACGGGCGCCACTTCTGAAGGAACAAAGATTTCTAAGAGAACTTGGAAGCAATCGATGCAGCATTTCATTCTCTTTCTAATGGTTATGAAACTGTTGCAAAACAGCCAATGAGCTTTAAATAACCAAAATCTGCGACCCATGCTTTTTGAGATGGTCAAGTTTCACGATTTTTTGAACCTTTCATATCAATCTTCAGAAGGAGCTCAAGTAACGATTCGATAGAGTAAACCTTATAGAATACAGTGCTACTTTTTTCCCTTTCTCGGAGCTCGCCGTAATTTTTTAAAAGATTTTTTAACAGAACCATCGGATTTTGGCAGGCCCACTTCAACCATAATCACATCAAACATCATATTTTTTTCGGAATTTGAGACTACCAAGATGGTACTATAAGTTAGCATTAATTTTACAAAGCAAGTGAGGGTTTACGGGTTCGAAGTATCAAATTTCGAGTTTTTCGGGTGCAGCCTGGGGCTCGCTAAAAAAATGAGTTATGATGTTTTTAGCCCCGGAAACTAAATGAATCGGAAACAAAAAACACCCATTAGAAAGAGGAGAAAAAGCTGCCGAATGATCCCCGAGCTGCTCAAGGTTTGATGTTCTTCTAGGATTTAGCTGTCCAAGTATGGAAATCGGTAGCATCAGTTAAAATTCTGTTAAAAATGTATGACAAGCTATGGAAAAGAAAAAAATGTTCTACTGTATTCTATGAGGTTTGCTCTATCGAACCGTCATTCGACCTTCTTCTGAAAATTGATATGAAATTTTCAAAAAATTGTGAAACTTGACTATCTCAAAAAGCATGGGTCGCACATTTTGGTTATTTTCTAAAAGCTCATCGATTGTTTTGCAACAGTTTCATAACCATTAGAAAGAGAATGAAATGCTGTTTCGAATGCTATCAAGATCTCTCAGAAACCTTTGTTCTATCAAATGTGGAGCCAAAGCGAAATTACTTCGGAATGATTTAATATATTGGCTAGATGTTAGTAGTTCCAGCCTCAGTACTTGCGCACTGTGCTAACTTGCTTGACACTAGGCGCCTTATCTTACAACGAGGCCTGATGTTCGTCCGATATAGTGAACCTACAACTAATATTATCTAACAAAAAGAAGGAAATGACTGGGATATGCCCTTCTGCACCATTTCGTCCTAGCGCTAATTACCCAGGACGGCTCATGTTAGTCCGCCTTTCTTATTATCTAGCAGATTCCACTATCTTATATATAAAGCTGAATGTCTGTATGTATGTATGTATGTATGTATGTATGTATGTATGTATGTATGTATGTATGTCTGTATGTACGTATGTTCCGAATAGAAATTTTTATTTCTGAACAGATCTGGACCAAACTTGGCACACATACATTTCGGGCCCCGGCGGATGTCGTAGGCTACTTTTCGTCATCGATCGATATCGATTTTATCGATTTTTTGCAAAATTTGAGCTACGAGGCTGGGAGTTGGCACAGGGGGGTAATCGAGCATGCTGATTACGAATACAACATTAGTTTCAAAAATCGTGCATTACTTTTATCGATTTTATCAATTTTTTTGCAAAGTTTGAGCTACGGGGCTGGGATTTGGCACAGGGGGTAATCGAGCATGCTGATCACCCCCGTGGGGGTGATCAGCAAAAATCGATAAAATCGACATCAATCGATAACGAAAAGTGGACTCTGACACTCGCCGGGGCCCGAAGTGTATGTGTGCCAAGTTTGGTCCGGATTGGTTAAGAAATGGAATTTTCTATTCGGAACATACGGCGGAGCCGGGTAAGCCAGCTAGTTTCATATAATTCAAAACAAGTGAGTGCACTCTTCGAACAGTAATAATGACAGTGTGTAAATTAAGACAAGAATTTAAGGAAGTTTAATTTATTTGCTCGTCTTTTCATGATTTCTTCCCCCTTCCTAGTTCTCCAAACACCGTAAAATCTGCATATGCAACCTGAAAAGCAACCACCCACGCATTCCCTTGCTTCAACCAGATCGGGTGCTAGAAGGCGGTGTTCATGACCTAGGAGGCGACTGCTCGCATCCGCGATGCAGTTTGCGCCTCCTTCGCTAATATACTCTCTGATCACTTGCTAGCACTAATTAGGTCACGGAGCCCTGCCTTCCAGCCGCCGACCTGGTTGAAGGAAAGTGTATCATTTTTCTACTTATATAAAGCTCGAAATTTTCTTTCAAGGAGAGTGCTTTGCATAATTCTTCTGTTCGCAGCGCCTGTGTAATACGCATCGCCCCGGCAGCTCCGACCAATCAGAGTCACGCAGCATTTCGGCTGCTAAGGCTAACGGTGCAGAACCGTTCCCCGAACAACATGAAGAGGATTAGTAGAAATTACGACTATGACATTGGTCATAATTACAAAGTTAGCATTACTACGAATAATGCGAACACAAGGGATTAAGGTTGAATTAGACTTCGCAGCCTACAAGGCGCAGCCTACAAGCTCTTCCATGACGAAGGCGGTCGGTCCAATGCGCGACGCGGCTGCCCCGCGTGTTCCAGCCTCTCTTATCGTTGGAGTTCGTATGCCAGCGCACGTCTCTCGTGCACGGGTGGCCGCTTTGTCTTGAAGATTAGCTTTTACTCGAAGTACGCAGCATACGCCCCATATCTTAAAGGCAGTGTCCCGGCAGATTCGGGTCCTGGGGGATATACGTGTGGTGGGGTTCCTGGTCACCCCATCGACCTCCAGGCGCACTGCGGCTGGGTGATGTTCCCCCTGAGCCGAGAAAATGGCCCTTGAACGGGCGCGCAACCCCAACAACCCCAACTGGCGCGCGCTTAGACGGCCTTCCCCGCCTGTTCGGCGCGGGACCCCACGTGCGCTCTCCCCCATGATGCATGCTATCCAAAGCAAGAATTACAGGCGGCAGGGTCTTCGTCTGAGGACCTCCCCCAACTTTCCATCAAAAATCTCGTCCAAGCTGCTTTTCTGGAATTGGGAAAACGCCCCAAAATCGGCCTTTTCAGCCCGTTCAAAGCTCAAATTCGGATTCTACGTGGCGAAAAGGCCTAAAACATGCAAAAAGGTGGAGGTGCAAAATCTGCCGGGACACTGCCTTTAATGCCCATGTGCGTACACTGCGAATTCTGGCTCAACGCTCATGCCACCGATGCGCGAGTTCAACTTTAAAGTGGAAAAATTCGAGAAATTAGCATAAAGCGTCGCCCAAGCGTGAAACCGTTCTACTGCCCCTCTACTGTCTTGTTTATTCGTCACATCAAAACCATTTTGTAACTTGCCTAACAGTTGCCCTTCTCGAATCAGCAGACAAATCGAACTGATGCCATGCTGCAAAGGCATTCGCTCAACCGCGCATTTTGAGGAAATCATTGAAGGCGAGAGCTTGTCCTGCAACTCATTCCAAAATAATTATAAAATTCATAAAGACGAAGGAAGAATGAGCGCCGTGAGGATGGAGACGACGCTTATTGGCCGCGGGCGGCTAAGGAAGAAGGACAAAGGAATTGCAGCCACAAGTAAATGTCCGAAGCCTGGGAAATTGCATTCGCGGCCTCCATGTTTGAAAGGATGCGTACCGAAAGATGCAACACGCACACAAGACATGCTTACTTCTTGTGTTGGACAAGTAACATCCTGAAACATGAGCATGTCAAATTATGATAACAATTTTGAAGTCTACCGATAATGAAAGCATTGGCCAAATAAGAACACAAATACATTGAATATAAGAGATCTTGTACGTTTTAAGCGTCTCAAAACCACGGTGTTTGCACAAAAGTGAACTAAAGGCACGCGAATGCGTTGTTGTGTCAGTTGTGACTTACATTACTCAAAATCTGAAATCGAAGTGTGAACCTTACCATGATTTTAGCCAACTCAATGACCGTGTAGCTGGAGTAAAGATAGACTCACACGGTAAGCCCCTATTACCCTCAAGAGAGCTCCGTGAGTTAAACTTACCACCGCCTACCTTCCTTGCTTTATGAAGGCAGGTTCAACTGTCAGAAGATCGTGCGGTCGAGTGCTGTCGAGTCAGTCTACCTGTAGCATGATCCACTCAACACAATCCGCGTGCTGAAGAAATAGATAAAGCCCCGTCGTGAATTCCCCCGTTGACGAAAGGACGAAGATTTTGTATCCTCTAAACCCTCTGCGGGCATGCGCCCAACGCAGTCTACTTTATACGGCTACTGAATGCATGCGGGGCTATTGCAGTGATGACTTGCAGGAGCCAGCCGGTCACCGAATCGGTGCTTTTATCCTCCCGAATAATCTGATATCAGTTTGCCGTCCCGAGGCGATAGAGGGCTTGGTTGGCGCAAGGGCCTTTGAGGATTGAACCTAGTCCGATTTGGTCATAGCGGCCTCATCACTACGCCTAATCCGTTAGCTCTCAACAGAGCTAACCCTTCACAGTAGCATAGAGTACCTCTGAAGTTGTAGTATTCTTTGATTCAACAGGCTCGGCGACTCGAAGGCGGGGCTTTGTGACCTAACGCCCGCGGAGCAATCTGCGGCTCTCCCGCGCCCGGGCTCTCTGACCCGGCTACCTAACCTTAAAGGCAGTGTCTCACCAAAATTTAGTTGTAGAGATTTTTGCATTTTGCGTGCCTGTCGGACCCTGTCCAGCACTGTATGGGTTTGAAATCGCACGAAGTCCCCAAAAACCCCGTTTTCT